CAAGACAGACGGTGTGGGCATCATTGCTTGTATTCATGACTTATAGAATCATAGAATGCTAGGACTGGAAGGGACCTCGAGAGGCCATCGAGTCCGGCCCCCTGCCCTCATCGCAGGACCAAATACTGTCTAGACCATCCCTGATAGACATTTATCTAAGCTACTCTTAAATATCTCCAGGGATGGAGATTCCACAACCTCCCTGGGCAATTTATTCCAGTGTTTGACCACCCTGACAGGTAGGAACTTTTTCCTAATGTCCAACCTAAACCTCCCTTGCTGCAGTTTAAGCCCATTGCTTCTTGTTCTATCCTTAGAGGCCAAAAAACAATTTTTCTCCCTCCTCCTCGTGACACCCTTTTAGGAACTTGAAAACTACAAGTCCCCTCTGTCTTCTCTTTTGTAAACTAAACCAGCCCAGTTCGTTCAGTCTTCCTCACAGCTCATGTTTTCTAGACCCTGAATCATTTTTGTTGCTCTTCTCTGGACCTACTCCAATTTCGCCACATCTTTCTTGAAATGTGGAGTCCGGAACTGGACACAACACTCCAACGGAGGCCTAATCATTGCAGAGTAGAGCGGAAGGATGACTTCTTGTGTCTTGCTCACCACACTCCTTGCTCATAGTCCCCTCCTTCTATGCCTTTGCTAATGCTTGTTTGGGGCATAACTTTGGTTCAACCTCTCCCGTATTGTAAAGAAAGGAAAAGATACTTGTGAGTTTCCACTCTAGCTTCCACATTATAAGCCCTTGCCAATGTTCAGCACGTTCAGCTTCTCGGGATGCTGTTCTGGCCTCGCTCTATTTCCAGATGCTCCCACTAATGTAATTCTGGGAGATAATGTGAACTCCGACCCCTGTTTTCTCCATCTCCACATCTTTTTGTGGCACCATTCCATAGCATCAGGTTGAAAGTCATTTAGGCTTGGCTGTGCGTGCACTGAAAACACTAAGGGGACTTCCACTGTATGCCGCCACCCCAGATATCATGTATCTTGCTGTCCGTGGCAGAGCCGTTCACATCTGCGCGGCTCCCTGGTTATTTCATTAGCTTTGCTACAGAGCAGATGAACAAGTGTGACCGGGTCTCAGGACTGCAGGTTGCCAGCTGCTGATAAATCACTTTATGTTGAAGATCAATTGTTTCCTGTTTGGGATGTGAAAGATCTGTACACGCCTGAGCGGATTGCACTCGTTCAAATGCAAACGGAGAATTCCCAGCTTGGCTTGAATCCTTGGTAATGTTGAAAACAATTAAAAAACAATATCAAAAGAAGCCCGTTTTCCGAACTGAGGTTCCTGAAGGTCAGGACTGTGTGGAATGGGGTGAGTTGTCATTTCATGCTTCTCCTATCCCGCCTTTGCTGTTGGTCCGGAACTGGAGAACTCTGGATCCCAAGTTACTCACCCAAAGCTCTTAAATACAGTACAGACCCAATTCTAGGTCTGAATTTTACATGTGGCCCCTGATGGATAGAACCGAAGGTGAAGAGAGTCCAAGTTAAGGTGATCAAAATGGAAATGCAGCTATAACACAAACACCCTCAGGGCAGGTCTACGCTACGGGGCAGTATCATTCTAAGGTACACAGCTTCAGCTATGTGAATAGCGTAGCGGGGGCTGACATATCTTAGATCAAGTTGCCATGGGGTGTCAACCGCAGGGGAGCTTACTGGAGAACCTCTCTTGTTGACTTCTGTTACGGTTCTCATTCTGGTGGAGAGAATTGGCCATTGATTTTGTGGGTCTTTACTAGACCCACTAAATCAATCCCCAGCAGATTGATGGCCACAGTGCTTATCTCCCAGTAAGTGCCCTAAGAAATCTGTTATCTGCAGACAGGCACTCGGATACCACAGAACATCCTGTGAGGAGAAAGTCCAAGGCATAAACCTTAACACACTCAAAACCACCTTCACCAAACAAGGACACTCTACCAGAGAGAAAAATCTCATCATGGACCAACCTCTTGAAAACCCTGAGAGGACCTGCTTCCATCAGAAATAAAACCCCTTCTGATTGTTCCACCCTACTTGTCACCTATCCGTCACTGAAATCTCTACAGGAGCATCATCAAACAACTACAACCCGTACTCAGCAAGGCCCACTTCCTGAAAGAAATATTTCCTAATCCTCCTCTTCTGGCCTTCCATCAACTCCCAAACTTTGAGCTTATTTAGTCTACAGAAGAGAAGAGTGAGGGGGAATTTGATCGCAGCCTTCAACTACCTGAAGGGGGGTTCCAAAGAGGATGGAGAGAGGCTGTTCTCAGTGGGGGCAGATGGCAGAACAAGGAGCAATGGTCTCAAGTTGTGGTGGGAGAGGTCCAGATTGGATATTAGGAAAAACTATTTTAAAAGGAAGATGGGGAAGCACTGGGATGGGTTCCCTAGGGAGGTGGAGGAATTTCCATCCCTAGAGGTTTTTAAGTCCTGGCCTGACACAGCCCTGGCTGGGATGATTGAGTTGGGATTGGTCCTGCTTTTAGCAGATGGTTGGACCCGGTGATGCCTGAGGTCTCTTCCCACTCAACGGTTTTCCAAGCTTATCATCGGAAGCAAGTTTCCCACAAACTAGGACACATCAAGTTAATGCAGCACCAGACCCTGCTAGAACAACAATGCACACCCTGTAGACTTATCTCTGCTGCCACAATGGTCAACACCCTCCGCATCAGACATGTCAAGGTGCAAAGGTTCGATGCATATCTAGATAGAGGGGGTGTGTGGGGATGGATGGATGGATAGATAGATAGATAGATTAGATAGATGGGGTGTATGGGAACAGATAGATAGATAGATGGGGTATATGGGAATAGATAGATAGATGGGGTGTATGGGGATGGATAGATAGATAGATAGATAGATAGCTGTCCATGTATCTATCTATCTGTGTGGAAGAAAATATATATTAACATAAGAACGGCCATACTAGGTCAGACCAAAGGTCCATCTAGCCCAGTATCCCGTCTGCCGACAGTGGCCAGTGCCAGGTGCCCCAGAGGGGGTGGACCGAAGACAATGATCAAAACTACTGCCCCTTTAAATTGCCACCGGACCCTTCACAAGCGCTGAAGGGCTGGCGGTAGGGAAGCTAGGCCCAGCTCCACCCCTTCCAGGAGCACCCCTAACCTGGCCCAGGGACTGGCAACTCTGTCAGCACCCCCTGCTTATGATAAATAATCTATGCAAACCTTGTATTTCTACTGCAGCCTGGTTTATATTACAGACCTGTCACTCGGGGGTAAAAATGAAACCCCTTGAGCAATGTTGTTCTACGCGCCTGACTCCTCCTGGTGTAGACAGTGCTATGGTGGCAGGACAGCTTCTCCTGCGCCAGTGCAGTGGTGCAGCTGTAGCATGTGCACGAAGACGAGCCCTTTCCGTTCATTTCCCCGGCCTGAAGAGTGCTTTGTGAGCTCGAAACCATCTCTCTCTGGTCAAGAAACCTCGGTCCAACAAAAGAGAACATCTCCCCCAGGGTGTGTCTCCTCCAGAGCTAGAAGCAGAGACAAGTTTGGTCGTACCAGTTCCTTTATGTGTGGAATGGAGACCAGGAAAAAACAAGCCTGGTTTTGGTTTTGCAAAATCTTGGTCAGAATTTTGATGGCAGGGGCGAATTCCTAACTCCGTCTCAGAACCAAAATTGGCAGTTGGTCCCTGTTTCTACCAGAAGCCCAGGTTTAGGACGTTTGGGAGAGTGTCTGAAATATGGCTCGTGTCATGCTCTGTCCCTAGACAACGGTAGGCTGGACGGAGGTCTAACCAGTATAATTATGGCTCAAGCCATCCTCGCCGTTGGCTGAGGAGCATGGGTGGAAACGGTCTACGATACTGTTTCTGTCTCTGACTTCTTCAGGCCAGCTCTTCCACTGGTGTGACTCAGCCGAAGTGTACGCAGCTGTGCCAATTTACACCTACCATCTGAGCCTGTGACGTTATGGAATCGGCTTTTTTAAAAGGTAAATCAGTAAGTCAAGGAACGGCAGGCGTTCTTCCTGGGGCATGGGTCTGTCCTGGGAGTGGGGCTCCGGTCACTTGAATTCCTCTCTTTCCAACTTGAAAGGCATAGGGGAGAGGTCAGGCTGAAACGTGCCCCCCCAGCCAGGCAGCCAAGGGCGGAGGGGGAGGGGAATGAGCAAAGTCTATTTGACCACCTGCCTCTCTTCAGCTGTGTAGACGCCTGAAGACAAATTAGTTGCAGGAAGCATTTCCTGTGCCTACGGGCTGTACTCGGGAGGGAGATGTTCCCAGCGCAGGTCAAGGGTTGAAAAATGAAGATGAAGGGAAAACAGATAGGAGATCCATCTTCCCGTATAATAAAATCCCCAATGCAAGAGGCATGTGGAAGTCATTTTTCATCAGGCTCCGAAGGCTTGCCGCTGGCTCTTTACAAGGTATTTAGTCTGTGACATGGGGCAAGACTCTCAGCCCGCCCGGGTCTTTGCCTCGCTTCCTCTGGGATGACACAGGAGATGCTATTGGAGCGGGATGCCCTGGCAGGTCTCAGTAGCACCGGGAAGTGGGCGGGGTGGCATGTTTCCAACTTCGTTTAGTTTACGTTGTTGTTAAAAAAAAAAAAAAGGAGGAGTGACCTGCTTGCCGGTGGAAAGGATGAGAGAGACCCTGGACCACACTGAAATGGGTTTAGCTAATGATTGGGCCTCCCGTGCGCGCTCAGTGTCTGTCTGGTGGGCAGCTAGGGAAGCATCCGATGTCACGTCCCTCAGAGAACTGTGGTTCTCCCAGTGTGGTCTATGAGTGGTCCGCAGCCATCTTGCAGGTGAGCTGTAAGCTCGGGGCTCGCCCCCCAGGGCTGACCTTACCACGAGGCAAACTGAGGCGGCCACGTAGATTAGACAGATAGGCAAAGGCAAATGAAGCCGCGATTTAAATGATCGCGGCTTCATTTAAATTTACATGGCTGTCGCGCTGAGCTGACAAACAACTGATCAGCTGTTTGTCCGCTCAGCGCGCTAGTCTGGACGCTCCCCTGCCGACATCAAAGCCCTTTGTCGGCAGCCCCGTTATTCCTCGTGGCTTCATTTGCCTTTGCCAAAAAACCAAATCTACATGGCTCCGTTGACGGAGCCATGTAGTTTAGACGTACCCTTAGAGATGCAAAGGAAATGAATAGTTGGGATTGAATGCTGTTAATAGCATAAGGCGGAACAAGGAAACGGAGAGGGGAAAAGTCTCTACATCAGGAGGAAGGCAAATCCCCAGGATGGTGAAAGTGAAATTTATCTCTGGAAGGAGCTCAGGAAAGTTATGTTCCTTCTGGGTTTCTTGTTGTCTCTTCTTCTGGCTCATAAAACCCCTTGGCTCGAATATTACATCAGCTTTGACTTTTATTAAAACCCCCTGTTCTGACCATGCAGTTTTCATGCTGTTACATAAAACTTTCTGGCAAGAGCTAAAATTAGGAAGGAAACATTTTTCTTTGTTGTTTTGATTCATAAGACAAATTCGGCCTTCTGTGTATTCTGAACCCGTTGCGAGGTACACTGTTCACATGGATGTTGCTGACTTCTGAGAGATTGAAAACGGAGATGCTGAAGAAGACGTAAGTGACATTATTTCTTCTGTGCGTGGTGTTTGGCAGGTTGTGAAGTGAGCAAAGCCTCCAGGGGCTTAGATTGGCTTTCAGGATAGGACCCAAAGATATGAACAAGAATCAGAGCATTACATTGCAACTAAGAACAGGCTGAGTTTTGGTTTTGCAAAATGGGCTCTCATCCAGTTCTGCTTTTGGAGGAGGAGGTGGGAGAGATTGGATAAGAGTTGGTTTTGCACCTATTTTTAATTTCAATTGCACTCTAGTTAGTAACTTCAGCATACTGAAATGCTATTCGCAAGAAAGACCAAGTGTGCGTGTGCGTGTGTGTGTACAAAGTTGTTGGAACAAAGCACTGAGAGCTGGGAAGTGTCGGACTCTAGCTTTTATTCTACCACTGTGTCATTGCGAGACTTTGGGAAAGTTACTCAACCTCATAGACTAAAAGGCCTGGCCTAGACTACATAGGAAGGTCGAAGTAAGATACGCAACTCCAGCTCATAAATTCTGTAGCTGGCATCCATGTATCTTAAATCTCCGGCCACACAGCAGGAGGCTGATGGAAGCAAACGAGGAGTAAGAGTACCAGCACCAACTGTAGCCTTGTCATTTTGTATACCATACTGTTTGTATGCTTCTTCAGGTTCCTGTCTTGATAACACCACGGAGCATCAGTTCGGACTGACAAGCACCTGGCTCCTTCCTTGCACCTGACCTATCTGGCCAAGAGGCTGGGCTGAGCAATAGACTGGTAACTATTCCATCGGGGGGGGGGGGCGCGGTACTTTATGTTATCAATAAATGAGGCGTGTTGCCTTAGCCTCCTGAAAAAGATCCCATGTGCCTCTTTTAAGCATAACACAACGGGGGTGCCCTCTGAGTTCAATTTAGAGGGTCTTCACTAGACCTGTTAAATCAAACCCCAAAAGATTGATCGCGATAGCGTCAATGTTCTGTGTAGTGTAGATATGCCCACAAACTTTAAGGCTGGAAAGGACCATGATGATCATCTAGCCTGGCCTCCTGAACATCACAGGCCACAGAATGGCAACCTCTCGCTCCAGCAATAGACCCCAAACCTCTGGATGAGTTCCTGAAATCCTCCCATCGTGATTTAAAGACTTCAAGTTACAGAGGTTCCACCACTGACGTTAGTTTAAACCTGCAAGTGAGCTGCAGAGGAAGGCAAATCCCCGTCCCGTAGGTCCCTACCAATCTGACCCGGGGGAAATTTCTTGCTGATCCAGGTATGGCAGTCAGTGGAACTCGACAATGTTGGCAAGGCCCACCTACCAGACACCAGGAAGAAAATCTCCATAGTAACTCAAAGCCCTCTCATCTAGCGTCCCATCACCAGTGGTTGGTGATGTTTGCTGCTAGTTGTTGTAGATTAGGTCGTTGCCATTGTAAGTAGTCTCATCACCTGCAAACATACCAAGTTCTTTGAGACTGTGAGTCCACCTCTCAGTAAAAGAGGTGTCAATAATAATATCTCACTCCACAATGGTGTTGAAAGTAAAGCGGTGTCACCATTGAGTGTTTTGTTCACTGGAAATTCTGAAACCCAGAGTTTTATTTTGGGTCAAACTGACCATGAAATTGACAAGTCAAAAAGGTCAAAATTTGCTTCCTGTCAACGTTGGGCATTTTGACAAAAGCAAAGGATGACTAGATTCACAAAATGGGGGAGGAGAACGAGAATGAGCCACCAAAAACGTTTTGCCCAGCTCTTACTATGACCCTTAATTAACGTCTATAGCAATCTGAGAACCTGTTTTGAAAGGTCTTATGGAAGAGCAGAGACGGGAGGCGGGCTCTTGGAAGACAGTGTTGCAATGGCCACTGATCAATAAAGTAATAAGGTTCAAACTCACCCTACGTCACACAAGCCACAAGTAATTACGTTTTGTGTGAGGAACTAAGTGGGGGTATTCAGGGTGGTGCAATTCAGCTCCCAACCTGCAGGCGGACCATAGCGTTCTTCACAGCGCCTGTTCCAGCAACTTCTGCCATTCCACACCTCCGCCGTGGACTGCCATGCAGCACAGGGTAGGAGCTATTCACCTGAAGTGTTTTCATTGGCACATGCTGATCCATCGAAACAGAAACATTTTGGCGGGAACGTGTCCATTTCGACACAGGTCTCTTTTCAAAAAGTTGCCGGAGACGACAAGGTTTTAGCAACTGATAAAAGTTCCCGTTTCAACTTTTTTCACAACAAAACGGGTTTGGTTTTAAAACGACCTTTTGTTTAGGATTTTAAACGACAGGTGGAACCTCCCAACTTGGGGACGCTGCTCCAACAATGGATGATGCTGGACCAGAGCGCCCTGGAGGCCGGAGTGGGAGCCAACTGGAGAAGGCAGGGCTGGGGAGTTCTGGCTGGGCCCGCAGTAGCTGGTGCGAGGTGGTGTCTGGGGAGCCCCGGCCCAGCTGGGGACCTCCCTGCAACAGCGAGGCAAGGCAGCGGCCAGGTGGCCCAAGGCCAGGGAACACTCAGGAACTCCCTGGTGCTGTCTGGGCCAGGCAACTCCCAGCATCAATGGGACCAGGTGATCGGGGGGGCCTAGTCGGAGAACCTGGGGAATCCCTGGTAGCGTCAGGGCAGGCGTGTCTAGGCGTCCCTGGCCAGAGAACCCCCAGCAGCAGCAGGGTCGGGCAGCCGGGGGGATCCCTGGGAATCTCCAGTGGGGTGGGGGCTATCTTCTTCTGAGCAGGGCTGGTGGTGGCTGGGTGGTCCCAGAACCCTGGGGAACCCCAGCGGCAGCAGGGCCAGCAGCATGGGAGCCCAGGAGGGGGGCAGCCAACAGGAAAGCATAGACCTCCCCTGTTCCAGCAAACTCCCTGGTTCCGGACTGCTCAGTTCCTGAGGATGCCGACCAGGGAGGGCCAACCTGTGCAGGTTTTAAAAAGTCAACATGGAAACAATCGATTTCAGATAAAAAGGGAAATAAGAACAACTTAGGAAACTACAGACCAATCAGTTTAACTTCTGTGCCAGGAAAGATAATGGAGCAAGGAATTAAGGAATTCATCTGCAAACAGCGGGAAGATAATGAGGTGATAGGTAATACAGATACTATAAAAGACAAAAAGGTTTGAAGATTCTGAGAGATTTTATTACAATTTCTTTCTTAGGAAGCCACCATCTGTTTCTTTTTTTAAACCATCTTTTGGTTCTCAAATTTATATTTAAGTGTTTTCCCCTCTTTTAAATATAGAAATCTGTCTAAGAATGCCCGGTGTTTTGCATAATTTCAACAATATTCAAAAGAACAAGAAAAAAGCCCCTAAGGATCTATTTTTTGTTTTTGCTTTTTATGTGCTTATGAGCAATACACAATGCTGAAGAAGAGAGAAGGAAAAAAAATAAGTATTGTGGTCAATGATTCAGATATTGGCATAGAGAATACACTTATTAAGTTTGCAGATGATACCAAGCTGGGAGGGGTTGCAAGTGCTTTGGAGGACAG